GAAATATTATATATATTTATATATTTGTATTTTAATTACATAAATGACTAATATATATTTTGGAAAGTTATATCTCAGTAAGAAAAAGAATGTTTTTCAAAATATTAAATTTTTGTAATTTAATATTTTCGAAATCAATTTAAATGGCTTTTTATAACTTATTGAGATTTAACTAATATATTTTGGAAATAATGATTTACAAATTTTGGAAATTTTATTTCCAGGTTTATAAATGTTGAAAATAATTACTGGAAGTTGAAATTTAATTTTCATGATTTTTGCAAAATTGTTTCAAAATTTTAATGGCCTTTTTGAATATAATTTTGCAAAAAGGGCATTTTGGTCATTTGGAATATTCTGGATATTTTTTATGCTGGCAGAATATCTAGAGTATATAAAATGATTTTATAAAATTTTATTAGATTTATTTGGACATCTAATTTAATTTTATGAGTTTTAGAAAATATTTACTGCCGTAGTATTTTTCTAGAACTGTCTGGGGTGAGCGCGGTTCACCCGTTGTATGTATATCTCTATTGCTTGTGTGGATGTATGATATGCATGGTGGATGATTGTGGCTATAGTTTATTTGATTATAATACGGCCTGTGTGTCGTGCCTTATCTCTTTAACTCTTGTTGTAAATCTATTTCTCTCTCTTACCTCAACTGAGGATTCTTTTCTCACGTGGTGGTTAGAAGACGAAAAAATTTGATGACCGTTTGGAAAAATCTAAAAGAATGGAGATAGCCCGAAGTTCAAATGCCCGGAAGCCAGTGGGAGCTATCGTTTTATTTTTCTTTTAGGGCCACAATCATTACACGTTTATTTACTGCTTTTTGTGAATGCATGTTGAATGTATGTTGAACGCTAGTAATAGACATGTGCGCGGCCATGTCGATAAGTGAGATCGAAATTATAAATCCCTCACGAATATTAAGTCTGTTACCTTCTGACGCCCGGCACCTATCCGGCTAATGTGCACTGTCATGTACTCAGCCTCAGCAGAGCATAGTACGGTGTATGTTAAGCTGGTTACGGGAACCGCCATAGCGTGGTCGCTGTCGCACGTTGGGTTAGACTTAACTGAGTCTCGGTCAAATGGATGGACGACTCAGAGGTAGTAAGTTGAGGTCATCAATGACAAGTCGAATGATTTTACTCACTCATTCAGCCAGGAGTTGGATCTTTATGATTTAATTGGAACTCTGTTCCTAACCAAAGTAGTCTGCTTGTAAGACGTGCCTCAGCCAATTACAAGTATGGTGAAAAGGTGTCCTGGTCCGGTTGTAGTAATATTGTTCGCCCAACACCAGACCAAGAGCTGAGAGCCCGGCTCATCAGTTGGAACTATGTTCCTACCTAAATAGTTGTCTTGTGGAGTAACGCCCAAGCGGAAC